ATCCTGCCCATGCAATTGTAACCCCTCTGTACAGTATGTTCACAAATAAAATTAAATTAAATTAAAAAAAATTTTGAGACCTGATGATAAACCAAAGGAATAAACAGGCAGTTTTAAAGGCCTTAGAAAAGATGGTTTCCTTTGCAAAGTAAATGAAGTTGGTAGTTAAGTTGGCTGTAATTTACATCACTCCTTATTATAAGGTCCACTCCTGGAAGGTGAGCAGACTCCACCCTCCTGGCAGCAAAGTCTCCGCCCAGTACATGCTTTACCTAGGTAACTGACACACCTGGAAGAGGTCACATCTGCATCTGCTGAGGTCACATCTGAATTTGATGTGGCCACACCTTTCTCCGCCCTTACCCTAGATAAGGCCTAGCCCAGACCTACACACCCTCTTTCCCAGGTCTTTCCCAGGTATCTCCCAGCCGCGTGGAGTGCCAACATGGCTTGGTGCCAGCAGGAACAATGAATAAACCTACCCCTTACCTGAATACCTTATGCTGTTCTTACTTGGCCTCTCTTTAAAAACCTGACATAAATGATGCCATTTGAACCTGGGAAGGGCTTAAAGTCAGAATAGGTGGGATTCCTCTCCATTTTTTCTTTTGTTTGTTTTTTCCTTTTTTGCTCTAAGGAATACCCACAGTTCTGATGGCCTTTTGCAAACCGGTCTGTCTGCTGTGGACACAGTGCATCAATACCATTGCTGGCCTCTGCATCCACCTCCACTCTTCTACATTTTGGTGAGTGAACTACTCTCTAAGGGTTATCTGTCACTCAGTCTCTCTCTAAATGTGGGACCGTACCAGAGAACCTACTAGGCCTTTAATCGAAAGGCCGGTCACCTCTGGAGCCCAGGACGCTTGACTCTGGTTTCTTGGCCACTCCTCCCTAGAGGGCTCTGTGGTAAGTCAGGACACCTCTTCCATCCGATAAGCCCTCCTTCACTCACTGATTTTTTTCTCTCCTCGTCTTTAATGGGGTGCTGCGAACTGTGAAACCCCTTTGAAATGCCTCCTGTGCTCCCTGGAAAGCCAGAGCGCCTAATTTTTTATGCCATTCTCAGATTTAGACAATTTTTGCCTCTGCAATGGTAAATGGACAGAACTGTTTACTTTCAGGCTTTCTTTGCTCTCTGCTAATCATGTCCAACTTTCTATATCTCTCCCTTTCTCTTTTCTACAACATTTTGGCTTGTGCCTTGAAGAGTGCGATGCAGGCTGGATCCCAGGGACCCCCTTCTAGGTTCCCTCTCAAAAGCTAGCCATTCTAGGCTTGATCTATTTGTTAAGGCTTTCTTTGCATTTTTTCAGAAGTTCTCCATCTTGGCCCATGTGGGTTAAGGGTTTGGCCCCATCTGACCCTTAATCTTCCACCAAGCTTACTACTCCATCCATCTATTCTAAGGTGCTTTGCTAACAAGTTGTTCTTTTCACAGACCCTGGTAACTGAGGCCCAACCATCTGATGTGCTTTGTTAGCAAAGATGTCTAAACATTGTTGTAAAAAAATTTTAGGTTTTGAGTTTTGCCTTTTTGTGTGTGTTGTGTATTCTAGTACTGACTATGTGGTTCTAAAATAGTGGGCATAACTGTGCTAAGATTCTCATCACATCTAATGAGTTTTGACATTGCAGCATATTTGTTGGTCAATTCTTGATAAGGACCAGGTAAGCTCTACTTATTCTATTTGATCTCCTTGTTGCTTTAATTGGAAATAATAAAGGGCTTTTATGGCAAAGATTGCAGTTCAAAGACAGCCCAGGACAAAAAATCTCTAAGACTCCATCTCCCAAGTAACCTGCAAAGAGCCAGGCTGGAAGTATGTCTCAAGACTCTTATCTCTAATTAACCAGCAAACACTGGAAGTGATACTGTGACTCAAAGTGGTAGAGCACTAGCCTTTAGCAGAAGTGCTCAGGGATAGTGCCCAGCCTTGAGTTCAAACCTCCATGAATACTAACTGGGAAAAGCCATCCCAGCAATGAGCACCTAGACTCAGCTAGTCTGGGGAACAAGGGACCATGGAGAAAAATAAGAGAAGTTGTCATATCAGCTACTTTGTACCTGCCCTTTCAAAATTAACCAGAGCTGGGAGGTCAATAGAAGTAAGAAGCCTGCCTATCTAGTGTCCATACCTGTCTACCTATTAACTGGACAGGAATTTACATTCTTGCCTTTGTTACCTGACTTCTCCTCTACCTTGTCATCAGATGGGGACATTTCTACCAACATTTTTCAGCCCCAAGTCCTTCTTCTTGCCATTTATCTGCTCTCTAGTATTTTTTTCCAGCCCCTCAATGCCTCATGAGACTTTCTCCAGACTTCATCCAAGAGACTTGCCTCCTCCAGACTTTATCTAAGGACTCACACCACCAAGGGACAGCTGCTGCTCACTGCCTTCTCTGGGAGGGGACCAAATTCCAGCCTTTTACCCCTATTGTCAACACCCCTTGTCAGCAGGAAGTAGCCAGAGAGAATCCTCACCCTATTTCATAATTATTAAAAGTCTGGAATGTAAGGTCCGCTCCTGGATGGCAAACAGACTCTACCCTCCTAGCAGCAAAGTCTCCGCCCAGCACATGTATTACCTAGGCAACTGGCACACCTGGAAGAGGTCACATCTGCATCTGCATCTGAATTTGATGTGGCCATACCTTTCTCCACCCATACCCCAGATAAGGCCTAGCTCAGGTCCAGATGCCCTCTTTCCCAGCCCCGTGGAGTGCCAACATGGCCTGGTGTCAGCTGGAATGATGAATAAACCTACCCCTTACCTGAATACCACATGAGTAGTGCTGTTCTTACTCAGCTGCCTCTCTTTAAAAACCTAACACTTATGTCTATCTATGCTAAAAAATATAGTAAGGCTCACGTTTTGTTTCTCCATTTTCTGTCCTGTGCACCTATCAACTTCCTTTAAGATTAAGGGACCAGAGTGACTCAAGATGCAGATTGTTCCTGTGCATGGGAAATACCCAGGAAACAGAACAAAGTTGCCACACTGCCTAAACCAGTGGCACCAACCTACAAAAGCCAGTGTAAGCAAGGTCTTTAACCAGAAGTGTGACAGTCCATACACTCTGGGAGATGCCACAGCCTAGCCCAGACCCTGGCCTTGTTCCATCACACATGATCAAAATCTGTTGATTTGGGGGTAAACACACACACACACACACACACACACACACACACACACACACACACACCATTTCAGTTATTTGTTTCTGTTCCCTTCCACTGGTAATGTTAATCCCCACAAGTTAGACCCTAAGGGGTGTCTGAGAAAAGGATGTATTTTGACTTCTATGCTATTTTGCAATTGGATATATTTCTAAAGGAAAAGAGATGTTAAGTCTAGATTCTTGGTACAGTGCTAGTGTTTGTAATTCTTGCATTAAGAAAAACTGCTAATTTCCTAAAGGTAACTCGACTGCAGAGAAAAAGTGGTCAGTTTAAACCTTTGCCCAAGAAGTAGGTAATGGGTGTTACCCAATGTTTCAATGGGGCATTTAAATGCAAATTAAAGCCACTTTAGGAAAAGGAATTAAAAATGGCATCCCCTTTGTAAAAATTTGGGAAGTGGCTGGCCTCCCAAAGAAAAAATTTAAAGGTAAAATTGTCCTAAATGTTTATTTCAAAGTGAAAAATATAATTAGGATTACCAAAATGATTTATTCCAGTTTTCCCTTAAAGGTTTTTGGTCATAGTTTCCAGCAGGCCCACAGCCAAGGACAGGATTCTTACAAGTTTGTCAATGTAACTTTGGTCCTTAATAAGTTCCAGGTAAGACCATGCTTATAAAACTACTTCTAATGACCATATTTGTCGCTTTTAATTGAAGTAAAGTGGCCATTTGTAAAGACTTGTTGATTTGAGAACTGTGGCTCAAAGCCAGCCTGGACAGAGAAACTCCCTCTGAGATTGTCATCTCTAATCTGTCAGCAGAGTGCTGAAAAGTGGAGTTGCTTTGGAATTCAAAGTGACTTAGTGCTAGCCTTGAGCTGGGGGACAGCACTCAGGCCCTGAGTTCAAGTTCAGTGACTGACCAAGGAAACTGCCAAAGGAACACGGACAAAGACACTCCTGGGACCTTGGCAATGATGGAACATCCAGAGGCCGTTACAAGTCACTGCTTGGATGGCACAAATGGTGTCAGATCCTGGAGTCACTTATTCTTGGCCCTTCATAATTGATCAGAGCCTGGAGGTCATGGGGAGGTAGTTCATAAGCATGCTTTTCTAATGCCCATGTCTATCTAGCCTTGAGTTCATACCCTGTGAATGCCAACTGGGACACTGAGACTCCCCCAGATGAGGTCAGTCCTGAAAACAAAAACCATGGAGAGGAGTAAGAGGAAATAACATTCTAACTGGAGTCACTTTACACTTATGTAGTAATGAAAGACCCCCCGTTCATGCTAGCATACCCCAGAAAAAGTGCTGCCCCCGCCCCGTAAAACTATGTGGAAAACAAAAGAGGGTGAGGCAGGACGTAGTGGTCAAGCCGGTAACGGGAAATAATGCCACAGGTCTCTGAGTCAACCCCTGTGGGGCAGGTATAGACATTGACAAACTGCCTGTGGAAAGTCCCACCTAAATCACCAATCCCTTCCCCAAATGACTCAAATTAGTTAATCAACACCCTGTAACCAGGCATCTCGCTTCTGTAACCTTGCTTTCAGCTGCCCATAAAAAGGGGTGCTTTCATGCACCTCGGCGCGCAAGTCTCCCGATAGACTTTGTCGCCCCAGGTACCCGTGTAAAGCAGGTTCCCAGCCACCGACCCGAACCTTGTGGATCTCGAGGTCGTGTGTACCTGGGAGTCTGGGCATACCCAAATAAACCTCTTGCTGATTGCATCCGCACAAGTGGTCTCGTTGTTCCTTGGGAGAGGGTCTCTCCAGATCGAAGGGCACCCCACACGGCCGGGGGTCTTTCATTTGGGGGCTCGTCCGGGATAGAGACCCCTACCCAGGGACCACCGACCCATTTCCGGGAGGTAAGCTGGCCAGCGTCTGTGTGTTGTCTGTAATTAAGCTGTGTTGTCAATTTCTGTGTGCTTGCATTCTGTGAGTCGGCCGTACTGGTCTGAATCTGGCGGACCCGAGGAGGAGCTGACGGGCTCGTACTCCCGACCGCAGCCCCCAGGAGACGTCCTGGGGGTGTCCGGGGCCTGAAAAAATGGCCCGTCCGGGGCCTGAAAAAGTGGCCCGTCCGGGACCTGAAAAAGTGGTCCATCTGGAACCCAGTCTTTTCGGACACGTGGTTCGTCTGGGAGACGAGAGATCCGGACTCTCGACACAGTCTCCATCTGTTTTCTGCTTTCGGTTTGCTGACGAAGTCGCGCGGCGAAAATAAGTGTAGTCTGTGTTCGTTTTCTGTTCGTGTCTGTTTTAAGATTCACTATGGGACAAACTGTCACAACCCCCTTAAGTCTGACTATAGATCACTGGAAGAAAGTTACAGCTAGTTTGTCAATTATGAAATTGCCACTGACCACCTGCGAGTGGCCCCAGTTAGATCTCAGCCTTGGGCCTTGGCTCAGGGGGTCTGAGCATGGGGGAGAACCTGTCAGTCTGAGGGGACGGCCGCTAGGGACTTTTTCCCTTGCCCCAAGATGACTGGGAATTCTCCTCTACCTTG